CCTTTCATAAGTCCACTGCTGAACATAGGCCTCCCTCAAGGAATGCCACAAACCACGGTCCTGAGCCACCTGCATCCATCGACTTCCTGCATGTCTTACCAGGTCGTCACTCCATCTCGTGGGGGGTCGCCTTACACTTCGCCTACCGGTACGAGGCTGCCACTCCAGAACCTTTCTTCCCCATCGGTTGTCGGTTCTTCGAGCTATATGGCCGGCCCACTGCCACTTCAGCTTACTAATCCGTTGGGCTATGTCGGTTACTCTGGTTCTACTGCGGATATACTCATTTCTAAGTTTATCACGCATAGAAACTCCGAGCATAGCCCTCTCCATAGCTCGCTGAGCGACCTTGAGCTTCCTCATACGGCCAGCAGTGAAAGACCACGTCTCAGATCCGTAAGTCATCACTGACAACACGCACTGGTTGTACAATTTCGTTTTAAAGGTTTTGAGGTATGTCTGACGAGATGTGTCGTAGTTTCCCAAACGCTGCCCAGCGGAGTTGAATCCGTCGATTGACCTCTAAAATAAAGTATTAACAAAGTAAACTCCACTTCGGTTTAACAGACTATACTATGAGCTGAAAGCCTAAGTAAAATACCCAAATTAAGCTTAGTAGTAGGACCAAATTGCAAGTTATAAACCGAAAGAAAATTAATGGGTTCCGCTTGCTACTAAAAAAGTAGTAGTAGTTTCATTGGGCCTCGCGGGAATCGAGCTCTTTTGTTCCTGTGCTTTGAAATCTTACGGCGGGCTACACAGCTCTCGTATTTGCTTAAATAAACTCATAAACACATGAAAATAAGCTTTTGCACTATTGTTGACCCCATCTGCATTGTAATTAGTCAATCAAACTATTCCATCATTTAGATATGAAAATTCTTACAATCCTCTTAATTTTCAATTATCGGTTTTGATACAAAAAAGTTGGTGAAATATTGCTATGCTGATAGACACCCGACATATTCAACTAAAGACATTCTGCCATAATCACAGTTTTGTTAGTCATTTTGACAATAACAATAAATCGTCCCGACACCGGTTTGGATATTTTAAGTCTGACAATTTTAATGCTGGAAGAAAAAAAAGTATGCAATAGAATTCTCATTAATTTCATCGCTTTATTCATTTAGCCGTAGGTAGATGGCGGTATTATGAGATTAAAAAAAAAACAAAAACTATACTCTATACAAAGACATTTAAGTAGTAGTAGTAACCTATATATTTGAATCTCTTTGACCCTATAGTACTCAGCGACAATAAGTCGAGGTGCGAGTGGGGTACCGTCTCACACAACAAAGCCGCAAACATTTATATAATACATAAATTAGGAATAAATTATATTCTATTAAAAATTCTGCTTCTGTCAAAAATACGCTATCAGCGCTGCTAGCGGTGTGTAATGAAATATGAAAAAATAGCAATGTTGTGTTTAGTTCTTAATATCATGATATAATCAAAAAACAATGTTAAATTTAATTAAATGCCACTATTTCGTGCTATAATTAATAACTTTATGATATTATTAATTCTAAGGTCTGGCTAATAAGTATATAAAAATCTCTTTATTTAAACTATATGGATAGTGAGTTTTGCAATAATTACAGTTATATCAGTTTATTTATAGATAATCAAAACTTTTTTTATAGATTAGAAATTAAACTTAGAAACATCTGACATTTTATGATTTTCGATAGATGTCACTTTTATCTACTATTTAAGTAGTAATTAGTTACTATAAGCTTTATTAATTCCTACTAAAATGAATTAAGGGAAGAACTGAAAAATGAACGTTAGATTTTCCAAATAATTATGAATTTAATTATTAAACATATATTTTATTTTATATATGTAAGTTATATATTTTATTTTATTCATTACTAACTAAAGGTAAAATGTTACTACTTTTGGATTTCACGTTAGGTTTTGATAAAGTGAAATTTAGATTGTCGGCGTAGTTAAAATTATAACGCAACGGTTAAAACTCATTTTAGGCTTTATTTATAACTATGTTATTTATTTAAAAATAAATAAATAATCAATAATATGAAATAGAAATTAACATCTTGATGAAGGAAAATACTTAACCCTCTTTTTGATGATCCGTAATCGGATAAAAAGTACCCTATAAGTTACCCCGGGTCCCTAACTATCTACACACAAAATTTCATGAAAATATGTCCAGTAGTTTTTACATGAAATGGTAATACACAGACAGACAGACTAAAATTCTAAAAAACCACTAATTTGGCCTCAGTGCCTTTTATTTAGTCCCCTGGAATTATTTTTTCCAGAAAATATTAGAATTACAGACACGATTTTTCTACAGATTTATAATATGTATAGATATAAAAATCTAAGGTTTTACGTGGTAGAGCCATGCTGCAGCTAAATTATGGTTGTAGCAAGAATGTGTCTACACTCGACACGACCGGGGAAGGACCACATACCAAAATGAAACGAAATTAGGCATTCCATCTTAGTCTTCAGGGGTGATAGCGTATTTGAATTTGATTCATAATCAATGATAGATGTCAATGGGCTATAGCATCCATTTGCCATCAGGTGGACTGTGTATACCCATTAAAACATGATGTCGAGAAAAGGATATCCGTGACTACCATACCATATCCATACCATTGCATTTATTGAAATAAAGACACTGATCTTAAAAATTTGATGCAAGCGCTAAAAAATAATTTGGAATGGAAATCCATAACGCGGCTGTTGCCACATTTATGAATATTGCCAATATATGTAGTTCTTTGTAAAAGTAATATATTTTCGGTATTCTTGGGAAATTTCTCTGCCAACTGAGTACAGGTAAAAAAAATGCTGTAAAACTTTAATTATGGTATTGTATGCAAAATTTACATCGACAATTCAGCTATATGCCTTTAAGATTTAAAGGCACGTGCTATGTTAGATAAATTGTCGTATGCGACTTATTAATGGGTCATCTGTATTTTTTTTTATAAAATATGGGAGACAAACGAGCACACAGTCCATCTGATGGTAAGTAGACGCTGAAGCCCATAGCCATCTATATTTATCCCTGATTAAGATTCAAAATGCAAATGCGTTGTCACCCCTGATAGATGGAATAAGACGGAATGCCTCGTTTCCAATAAAAAGGGTCTCCGGATCTCTACACTAAATATACGAAACACAGCAGTATCAAACTGCTATTTTAGACTGGTAATCTCGATCGAGCCGACCCATTCGTGCTATAACCATAATATAGGTGCAGATCGGCTCTACCAGTCTGCAAACAAGTCTAATGGAATATAAGCCACGATTATTAACACAACACTTAGATGTTTTGCATCTCCGTTGCCGTTATTCCAATAGCAGTAGCCATCATTTGATTCTCTAATGAATTTCGAAATATACGCGACAATAACATATATTTCTTTATTCGTTCGTTAAAGTCTATCAAAATAAAAAGCTGAGCAAAGACCCGTCCCTTAAATTGTCTCATAATGGGGTAATTTGCCATAGTTGCCACGATTGGCAGGCGAATTGGCAACCGCAGTTTTTTTTCTAGTTGTTATTTGGAAGACGCTGCTGCCAATCTCCTGGTTTGTTTCTATCTGTCGCCTCTTACGACACCCACGGGTCTATATGGGGGTAGTGGATATTCTTACACCGCCACTACAAGGTCATCTAATATATAAAAAAATAGTTTTCTTTGTTCGTATTTTATGCGCTACCAGATTCGCGTTTGTCAGATTGCGCTGGATACGCGTTCATCAGATTGCGGTAAAACTTTGTCAACTTATTGCCTGCACTTACGCGAAGATTATAGGCATAGTACAATCAAGTTACAGTAGGTAGTTACAGCAGTAGTAGGTAGTAGGACAAGTTTATTTGAAAGTTATATATCATTCAATTGAAATTAATGTATTGTCATCATTCCTAATTCAACAATATACATATCTGTTCCAAATTTAAAACGATATATCCACAATTATATTATGGGTAGTAACGCGCCGGCCATCATACCAGTTATTATGATATTATAATATGCTGAGTACATAACGCTATGTTAGTGTAGGAGTGTGAGATTTGGCATAGTTAAAGTTTATATTGAAAATGAATACAGAAAGTTAAAATTTATAAATAATTTGCGTTACAAATACAGTAAAATAATTTAATAAAACATTCATTATTAACGTTCATAATGCCAATATGAATCATACTTCTGTAGTCAAACAGTTGCACAGAGTATAGATCTAAGAGCATATTTATGCGTAGAGATTGTCGCCAAAGATTTAAAATGTTGCCAACAAATAATTACTGAACGAGTTGTGAATTTTGGATGATTCCAAATAATGCTCCTTTTCAATACAATTTTTTGCTTTGACAAACACTACAGTCTGTATAGTGTATGTAAAGTAAAGCAAAAAACGTTTATTTTACATTTTCGATATTAGATATTTGTGTTTTGTATATTAATGTTCAGAAAGTGTTACATAGCTTGCTTAATAAACAAACGTAAAAATTTTATGAATTAGGTTTCTTATTTCGACCATTAGGCGAGCATTTACTCGGCGATTATATAGGAAAGTAAATATGTTTGTTTAAAATTAAATAAAGGAATAGTTCTTGTTTGTGTACATCAAAGTATTCTTATAAAATTATTCATGACCTATATTGAGATGACAAATCTATTCACTTTTTTTAGTAACTGATTAAGTCGTAACCGCCCATCAAAAGGATACTGTTAAACGTATAGGCCTCCCCCATACATCGCGTCCTAGGGAATTATTTGCCCTTATTGCCGTTTGAGTTGGCAACCCCAGTTTTTTATTGTGGACACGTAACTGTAGTATGTTTCATTTTAATTATTTTTTATACACCCAGGGAGTAATATGGGCAAGCTGTATTTACTAAAGTGCTATCTGCTATCTCTATCTATTATATTTCAAATAATATTTTTCCTGCTTGTAATTGTTCATTTGCTGTATTTTTTTTAATTCTCTGAATTTTCTTTACAGGCTAACGGCCAGGCTTCACAGGGCAAATACGTGGCTGGATCCGTAACAGGTGTGGGCGCCGAAGCCGGTCTTTTCGTTGCAAACCACGCGTACTAAACACAAACACCTCACAAAGTTACTGCTTTTCTCTTTAGCATGTTGTTACAAAATTATCGATGTTTGATAACACATGACACGGCAACTAAAAAAGAAAAGTACACAATTATGGCCAGCGTCAATTGCGCTGCTTTAACATTCTAAATTTGAAAATAACTCAATACTGGCTATAGTATCTTTTCCTTTACAAGTTACAGCTTTAGATGCTTTAAACAGAACAAACTATACAAACACAAATTATTTATTTAAAATGTATTGTGCGTTATATGTTGTTGTTTCTATATCATGTAGAATTAAGAACAGATACAAAACATTAGAATTTTAGATAGATGAAATTGACACAATTTTCGAGTCGTAGTTGTTTCTTGTAATCAAATAGGAAATTGGTATTAAGTGTTGCTAGTTGGAAAAAGTATTTAGGAATAGTTTTTTTTTATATAATATATAAAATGTACAGTATATTTCTTTTACAATCTGTAATAGAAATCAGCAGAAATTAGATTTGGAATTTAGATATTATTTTATTAATTATTTTATTTTTTAAGTAATCGTATTTTGATATTTTAAGAATAAACTCATTAAGCTGTATATAGTTTGTTTTACTTACAACGCCATTTTCTATCCAGGGACCATAAAAAGCATATATACGATATATAAATATAAAATTATTTTAGAGGTTTTAACTCCAATATTATAATAGATTTCAGCATTAAATTACCGTTTACGAGTGTAAAATCAACATAAGTTGTTTTCTCAGCGGTTGTATGCCCGCCGTATACTTAATTCTTCATATATTACTTAAGGCGCAGGTTGAGCAAAATGTCGCGCTAGTCGTTATTTGGGCGCTTTTTAGGAGCTATCTCCTTTTTATTTAAAAGATATATCAACAAATAAAAAACACATTATATTTCTACATAATCTTGATTCCATAAAAGCTATATCCAATTTTTTTTTAAAGGAATATATATTAATATAATCTCCTTACAACAAAACCACATAAATGTGAAATTATTATTGATAACATGCATCTCCTCGTAAAGTAAGTATTATTTTATTTTGCGATTTACACCAATGGATAGGCAATTTATTAATAAACATTTCTATAGTAAATTTTTTTTCAAAAGACCAAAATTTGATTTTATTAAGAAATTATTTTAAAATCTGGGCATATTTACTGCTCACGGGCTTGTTGAAGTCAGTGAGCGCTGAGCTCTTCGACGTGAAGCCCGTGTCGTTAGAGCGTCGACCAACGCATACGCCACGTCATATGAGTCGATAATATTATTACTTATTAGGTTATTTATAGGTAGTATTATTTGTTTGTTTTGGGTATAATTTTTCGTATTAGTTATACATATATTTGTTGTGTTTTTTACTGCGCGATGAAGATTTTTGCGTGTATTTTCTTTGAAGTAAATGCAAATAAAAAAATGAAGCACCATTAGCATATAAGGTTCGAATCCATAATTAAAATTTCGACAAATATTATAATTTACACTATAAAAAGCTAATTCAATATTATCACCCAACCACAATATCTTATCAGGTATAGTGCTGCCTCGTTGGTCTAGTGGTTGTAGTAGTGCGACTGCTGATCATGAGGTCCCAGGTTCGAATCCTGGGTCGGGCCAAAAAGTCAGTTATGAGTTTTTGATTTATGTTCTAAGTTATAATTAGTATTACTAAGTTATAGTTTTTTGTTAAAATATAGTATATTATTTATTGCTTGTTTTTTCTTCTTTTTCAAAAAATAATTGAGTACATAAGGTGTTCTATACTTATAACTCGGTAAAAAGTACTAATATACCTACTTTTTACTATAAACTAAAAAAATTTAAAACTAAATTTAACTAAAAAGACTAAACTGACCATTTATTTTTTAACTCATAACAGGACATGGGTTTATTTATACTCTAAAAACTATAACTTTATACAATTAGTGTTCACTATAAAATTATATTCGGTATAGACGGTAATTATTAAATGCAACATATTTTTTTTTAATTATTAATTACATTTGTCAGTGGATTAAATTTGCTTTAATAAAGTTGGCGATGATTTTAAATAAGAATAAAATTCTGCTCAAGTTTTTTATTGTTATCTTTGTTAACAACATCGCCTTTAGAACTCTGGAACCGTAAGTGTTTCTTTCAGACGTCCACAATTTATGCAAAATAAAAAAATACTCTTTCTACCGGAGCATTCGTACCAGGTAGACATAAAATATATTCGATTAAAAAAAATTATGTTGAAGATTGTTGACTTTGAATACTTCCATCCAACGAGTTACGGGACAATTTTGTGTCCCGGAGCTTTGTTTGGGGACAATGAGACAGGAGACCGAGAAAAGGGACAGTCCCGTTCAAAACGGGACGTATGGTCACTTTAGCTATAACCCGGCGACCATGAAGCAAATACAAAGTTAGTCTTTGTATTAGCTTCATGGTGGCGCAGTGGCTTAGCAATCCGCGGGGCCGCGGGTTCGAATCCCGCATGGAACAAGATTTGTATGGCCTACAAATAATTGTTCCGGGTCTGGATGTTTGTCTTTGTGCAATTTATGTTTGTAAACTGCCTCCACGACACAGGAGAAAATCCTAGTGTGGGTGTAACGTTTTTTTACAACTGAAATTGAAAGATTGAACCCTTATATTTCTTGTTGATTTTTGTATTTATATATTTTTTATTGCACCAAATATTTGTACAAAAGCCGAGTTATCTATTTATTTACCTATAGTGAATAGGTATCTTTTAAACTCACAATTTTCAATGCTTCCGTTTTAATATATAATTAATTATAAAATTTCATAACTAGATAATATATGAAAATACATAATTCTAATATAATGCAACTAATATATAAAGAACATAATAAAAAAATTAAAATACATTTATCTTTGTACGCTATGTGTATTTCCATAAAATAGTTTATTGATGTTGAAAAAATAATACTACTTTCGTACAATAGGTGGCGTCTTACATATTTCTTCCGGCGAGCCGTTCGCTACAATATACGAACGGCGCGCCGGTCAAATGCTCAAGGTCGTTCGCATGGAGTAGCCCCTTAAGTTCGATATCCGTCCGCTCCGCTAAAATTTTCATTCCTAATTTTAATAATGGGAATAAATCTGTGCAAATTTTCATTAATTTTTATTAATTTATTCATTACAGCCCAACAAATCAGCTTCAGAACAAGGGAAGCCTATTCCCCTATAGATTATCTCATATTTTTTTTTATAGAAGAGGGGACAAAAGAGCGTGCAGCTCACCTGATGATAAGTGCTTACCGCCGCCCATGAACAACTGCAACACCAAGGGAATTGCAGGTGCATTGCCGGCCTTTTAGACAGGTGTAAGCTCTTTTCTTGAAGCCCCCTAAGTCGTATCGGTCCGGAAAAATAGCCGGTGGTAAACAATTCCACAGAGAAATTGTACGAGGAAGGAAACTCCTAATTAAACGTACATTCGTGGACCGCCAAGTATCCAGATGGGGACAATGGTATCGTAAATTTTTTTTCGCGATGTTCGTTGTTTTTTTTTTTTTTTTTAATACATATTGTTTCATATTATAAGTTGGCACGCTTGACAAACAGACGGATCGTAGTGTTTTATTATTATTGAGTCGTTATCAGGAAAATGCTGCTGCCCATCTCCGGTTTCAGTTTTCCTTCCAATGTTTGCTTTTGGGAATATGTTATTTTACAAAATTTCGTAATTATGTAGTTGTCTTTTGAAAACAACCCCAATAATATTATTTAAGGAAATATTACCTACTATACGATCACATACGAGTGAATGCAATGCCGCAAAATAATACCGGCTACTTAGGCTCATCACGCGCATATTTGACAATCTTTTCATTAAATAACTTTTAACAAAAAGTGAAACTGCCTGAAAAAAAAGACTTCAATTTGCTAAAAAAGAAGTTATTTATTTGCTACCCTTAGGTGTGGACCACCCTTGAAGTGTAATCTATTTAAAAACAAGTGATAAAATTAAAAATTTTGTACAAACCACTTCAATATAAATTATTAAGGCTAACTCAAAAACTACTGGTCGGACCTTGATCAAATTTATATGGGATCACATGAGAAGAATCAGCTTTCAAATAAAAAAAGAATCATCGAAATCGGTTCACCGAGAAAAAGTTATGAGGTAACACATATAAAAAAAATACAGTCGAATTGAGTACCTCCTCTTCTTTGAAGACTGTAGAAAAAGGAATCATTAAAATCGGTTTTCAATCTGCGAAGGTATCATATGAAATTTTTTAAACAATGGTCCAATATTAAACTTTATCCCCTATTTTCCACCCTTGGAAAGCGGCGGCGGCGACTGAAGTTTTTCTTCAAAATTTAATGGGACCACCCTTGAAGTAAGGCCTGTTTAATAAAAGAAGGTATCATTAAAATCGGTTCACAATCTGCGAAGATATCGCGTAACATACATACAGAAAAAAAACATATACTTACTCGAATTGTGAACCTCCTCCTTTTTGGAAGTCGGTTAAAAACAAAGGAACATGACAATAACATGACATCATAACTTTTATAATTTATATTATATTCTGTCCATGGCTTCGGGATCTCCCTGTTATCCAACCACAAAGTAATAAGAAGTACATAGGCTGCACTAAAAGTATCGGGAATGGAATATTTCCACTGTTCCTGTCATATTAAAATCTTTTTAATTGAAAAGTCCTTCATCATCATCATCATCATTACAGCCCTTCACAAGTCCACTGCTGAACATAGGCCTCCTCCAAAGAATGCCACAAAACACGGTCCTGAGCCACCTGCATCCATCGACTTCCTGCATGTCTTACCAGGTCGTCACTCCATCTCGTGGGGGGACGCCCTACACTTCGCCTACCGGTACGAGGCTGCCACTCGAGAACCTTTCTTCCCCATCGGTTGTCGGTTCTTCGAGCTATATGGCCGGCCCACTGCCACTTCAGCTTACTAATCCGTTGGGCTATGTCGGTCACTCTGGTTCTACTGCGGATATCCTCATTCCTAAGTTTATCACGCAGAGAAACTCCGAGCATAGCCCTCTCCATAGCTCGCTGAGCGACCTTAAGCTTCCTCATACGGCCAGCAGTGAAGGACCACGTCTCAGTTCCGTAAGTCATCACTGGCAACACGCACTAGTTGTACAATTTCATTTTAAGGTTTTGAGGTATGTCTGAGAAACCTATCCAATTGCAGAGAGGTGTAAGACAGGGTGACGTCATATCCCCGAAACTCTTCACCGCTGCATTGGAAGACGTTTTCAAGCTTCTGGACTGGAAAGGATACGGTATCAACATCAATGGCGAGTACATCACTCACCTTCGATTTGCCGACGATATAGTCCTTATGGCAGAATCGCTGGAGGACCTAAGCACTATGCTCAATGACCTCAATAGTGTTTCCCAACGGATAGGTCTTCAGATGAACATGGACAAAACTAAGATCATGTTTAATGTCCATGTCACACCTATGCCGGTAGTTGTTGGGAACACTAAGCTCGAAGTTGTTGACGAGTATGTTTACCTGGAACAAATAGTCCGACTGGGTAAGTCCAACTTCGACCGAGAGGTCAATCGACGGATTCAACTCGGCTGGGCAGCGTTCGGGAAGCTACGACACAAAAGTCCTTGGTTTTTTAAAATTGAATACCATTTATTTATTTAAAAAAAGATTTTCGGTCTTGTCGCAAGGTTTTGTCAAACTTGTTTAGTCGTTGAGAAAATTGAATTGACTCGAGAAAACTCAAGAGCGATGATTTATTATGACTTTCGAAGTGGTGTCACAGAAACAGTGTGTTGACCGGGTGATTTCTGCATTTGATGATGAAGCCCTATCCAAAACCACAATTTATCGCTGGTTTGCTGAATTTCAACGTGGACGTGTCAAGCTCAGTGATGATCCCCGTCAAGGTCGTCCAAAAACTGCAGTCACCCAAGAAAACGTTGATGCTGTGCGTAAGCTGATTGAGGAAGATCGACATGTGACATACCGCGAAATTTAGGCAACTTTAGACATTGGCATGAGTCAAATACAAATAATCTTGCATGAACAATTAGATGTAAATCATCAAAATAAAAAAAATTGATAAAATAAAAAAATCAAAAAGGTGTGCATGTGCGTGCGTGTGTGTACGTGTGTGCGCGTGTGTGCGTGTGTGCGTGTGCGTGCGCGTGCGTGCGCGTGTGCTCGTGTGCGCCTGTCCGCATGCGGGCGTGCGGGCGTGCGTGCGTGCGTGCGTGCGTGCGTGAGTGCGTGCGTGCGTGCGTGCATGCGTGCGTGCGTGCGTGCGTGCGTGTTTGTGTGCGCGTGTGTTTGTGTGTGCGTGTGTGTGTGTGTGTGTGTGTGAGTGAATTAGACTACGATCGAAGTTGTCGACTAGATAAGTCCAACTCCGACCAAAAAGTCAACTCGGACGGATTTAACTCGGCAGCGTTCGGGAAATTACGAAATATCTTATCGCGTCGCGTATATCTCAAAACTTGAAAACAAGATTTTGCAACCAGTGCGTGTTGCCAGTGATGATATAATATGGAACTGAGACGTGGTCCTCACTGCTGACCGTATGAGGAAGGTCAAGGTCGCTCGGCGAACTATGGAGAAGACTATGTTCGGGGTTACTCAGCATGATATACTTAGAAATGAGGATGTTCGCAGTAGAACCAGTAACCGACATAGACCAACTGATCAGTAAGTTAAGTACGGCCGTTGTAA